TGAAACAGCCTCTTATAGCCGTTAGAGCAGCTAGCTATCACCAGATGCTAACAACAACAAAACACGTACACTCACTCGCGCCACACATACGGACACCCTCCCGAGCTTGTTTGATACACAGAGACCCATCGAGGGCTTTAATGTATGATCGGTGTGACAGTGGCCATGTCAGCAGGCCACATAGACAGCCAGTCACCCTGTGTGAGGCAGGACCACATTTACGCAGCGTCCTGTTCACAATACATACAAAAAAAACTGCCATTAATAAATGACTGTCAGAAATCCTAAGTATCTGTTGGCTTATGGAAGCATGTGTGTTTCCCACCAGTGTAGGTCAGAGGCAGCTGCTGTGTTTGGCCCGAGCTCTGCTGAGGAAGACCAAAATCCTGGTTTTGGATGAGGCCACAGCTGCTGTGGACATGGAGACAGACAACCTGATCCAGTCCACCATCCGCTCACAGTTTGACGACTGCACCGTCCTCACCATCGCTCATCGCCTCAACACCATCATGGACTACTCCAGGTAGAGTGAGTGAGTGACGTGAGTTGAGTGACGTGAGTGTTCTTTTGCTCCTCGTACTGTGACAGTTCATCAGTGTTCTGATCCTCTAGGATCCTGGTGTTGGACAAGGGAGAGATGGCAGAGTTTGACACCCCTTCCAATCTCATTGCTCAAAGAGGAGCATTCTACAAAATGGCCAAGGACGCCGGGCTGGTGTGAAGCAGGAGGCTCCTCACTGTCCAGAATCGCCTCTGAGCCACCACAGCTCCTCTGCCGTCCTGCAATTAGGTCCTGAAATAAAGAGGAGGGAGATAAAGTGAGGAGTTGTTCTACACTTTGGAACAACTGTGTTTGACTATTAAAGAAAGGGTGTTAATGAGAACAAGGGTTTTAGTTGGACATGTTCCAACACTGCTGGTCCTTCTAGCATTGGTAAGCAATACTGAAGTCAGAAGACGACATCAAGTATGTTGTCTTTTAAATACAAAATCATATAGTGCCAAAGACTGCATTCAAACATCCCAGTTGTTTTCAAATGCAGTTGTCCCAGTTCCATAATATATAGTTAGAACATACAACATTTCATCTATATTAATCGTTTGGACTATGCTGTTTTTTACAGTTACTATTGAAGAAATCAACTACTTTACAGTTTCATGCTAACTGTAACTGTAAAGTTTCATGCTAACTGTAACCTGCACTCAGTGTAACGGATAAGGCAGACATTATCATATCATTTCTTATATGAAGGAAAATATAAAACATCCAAGAGCTTATCTGTAAAGCAGGTGTCGTAGGGCACATTAAAGTTGACTCAAATCAATTTATAATCAGTAGTGAGTGGAACTGGGACTCAGCTGATTCTTGGACCTTATAGCTACCAAAGCTAGCTGAAATAGGGCAATGCACTTGTTTCTTATAGTTGAATGTAACATCAGTTGGAGTGATTCTTCTGTGAGAGAGGAGTGTTTTGCGGTTGTCTTATTTTCAGAGCATCACCACAACGATGTGGCTGTGTGAGGAGCAACACAAGGTGTGCCAACTGATGTGTCAGAAACAATAGTTGCGCTGATGATGTGACAGGAAGGGAAGGCTTGTGACATTGAACATCATCGCATAAAACACAACGCAAAAACTCTGGGAAACTTTTAGATAGATAACACTGACTGTTACTTTACATCCACCACTGATTGTATTTATTGTGTGTTTGTGTTTAATCGACAACAGCTTTAAATATATGTGTTCATGCAAGTTGCTGATAAGGTCAGAGACTTATTTTAGGTGAATTCTAATGAGGTGACATTGTACTGAATGTACACAAAATGAATGTTTATAATCTCTTAATGTTCATTTTGTCGTTTTATATACCCATTATAAATATTTGTATTGTGACTGACAGCAGTTTAGAAGTTGATTCGACAGGGTTTTTTACATTGCCATTTTGATGATAGTAAGTTACTGCGTTATTTTGACCGTTTTGATAAGATGCTGACATGGAGAAATAAATTCCCACAGTTTAGAGTGTGCACGAGGTAGCAGTTTAATGCTCTGAGAAGCCCTGGTTATAGTAAAAATAAAACATTCAAGTTCAGGTCAATGAATCTTAAAAATACACAGCAGAAGTAATGATGTAAGTGCATTGAGCTACTGTACTGTATATTGTTTTGATGTATCACTATGAAGATGTTACTGCTTTGCACTGCTGTCATTAAAAGAACATTACCTTGAACAAACAAATTCCTCCCTTCCTGATTCCATTTTGAAACGTGTACTACATTTGTATGTTATTAACTTGCATAACTTGCATACAAGACAAAATGTAGGGTGCAAATCTAAGAGGCTGTGCCAGTTATAGAGCCCTTTGTTTCTAATAGGAACTGAAAACCATATGAAAAATGTTTGCACTCACTTCATTGTCACTGTAATAACTTGATCTAATGTATTCAATTCAGAGGGAAATTATTCTGAAATTAATTAAGATTCATCTTAAAAGTTTGCCATAGTGTGCACATACTGTATAGTCTCATGCTGTGTGTGAATCCAATGCAATAAATAATATTTTTCCTCCATTGACTAGATTCCCATAGTCACTGGTGGTTAGGCTGGTTTGTTAGTGTGAGGCTCCTGGATGATGACTGTTACCAAGTCATGATTGTGGCATTGTGAATGTCGTATGTGGGAACATTTGGAGCCACATATGGGATCTGTGTCATTCTTTAGTCTTGGTGTTAAAAGTTATGCTTCTGGTGAGCATTTTTGTTTTACATATGTATGATTAAAGGAGTATATTAAAAGTTGTATTAATGCACATCTTCATTTGCGTAATTAGCTTTAAAATATTAGACACTTGACACAGTTGCTTTTGGCAAAGCACAAAAAGAAAACTCGAGAAAGATGAGTTATTGTTATTACAACATGACTTCACTATTATTTAACAACTCTTTTTATTGGGTTCTTTTATTTGGGGTTAAGTACATTGTCAGAATAAGTGAGAAATGGATTTAACTTCTGTTAGACAATTATATGCCATACATTTTTGCATACATTCACAGTAAATATGTATTCAGTATGATAGCTGTCGAACAGAAGTTAAATTCATGTATAACTTATTCTGAATGTACTTAACCCCAAATAAAAGAACCCAATAAAAAGAGTTGTTAATTACTAGTGAAGTCACGTTGTAATAACAATAACTCATCCCTCTCGAGTTTTCTTTTTGAGCTTTGCCAAAAGCCACTGTGTCAAGTGTCCTACTTGGGTTGCCGTACGAAGTTGCCCAATATGGCGGACCATCTCGCACATGCGCACAGCAGATCGGGCAGAGCTGCAGATCGGGTAGTGAGAGGAAGGTTCCTAAGCTAAATGGACTATTCGACTCCAACCCCGGTTTGTGGGGAAGGAAGATGGCGGCGATGGATGAAACTGGATTGCTTTTGCGCTATTAAAACGGCAAAAAAGCAGTTTTTGCCCCTTATCACGGCTCATCAAATGTAATGCAAGACGGCAGCGTTAATCTCCTGCTATAGATAACAGGACTACAGGACTAAAGGTAAACCAGCAGCACACTGTCACTGACCCTCTCGCGACCATAAGCCTACATGAGCTACTGTAAGAGAAATGGTGAAGCTAGCTAGCCAACTGAATGCCTCCGTCTTTATAGAGTTTGTATCCAAACAATGCAGCATTCAAACGCGACAACTACAAATATGTAACACTAGCTCACCCGGACACAACGTTAGGTGTAATCTTTTACAATAAAAGAGTTAGAAAATACATAGGGCAGGGAGGCAGTGAACGCTACACAGGGCAGTACACGGTACACAGCAGGAATACAATTAATTTGCAAAACGAGAAAAATCGATACATACACAGGTTATTAGCTTAAATCAGGGGTGTCAAAACTCAAATACACAGTGGGCCAAAATAAAAGATAAACGGTACTAGTCGAGGGCCGGGCTGGTTCAATGTTTATTG